ACCGGATCGCGCAGGTTAAAGTTGCACAATTAGTTAAAGCAGAACGCATATTTTCTTAGCTGAAGCTTATACGTATGCTGAACGTTTAAATCGTTCGGAAAAAAAGCACAAACGAGAGAGCATACTTTGTTTCAGGCTTGAAAATTGATTGTATAAGATGACGTGCGGATCCTTCTTCGGTTGGTAAGAATTCAACTAGTGCTGTGATTACGAAAAGGACCACAGAGGAGTATTTGAGTTACTGTTGGAAAACTCTCAGTGGCTGCCATTGTACATACGCTGCAAAATTACCTCCCTGAAAAACAGGTTGCTCGAAAACAGTTAAGTTTACTTTTCCTTTAATTTATATCTAAGGAAAAACACGCCAATATATAATAATTTCGAAGAAAAAGAATTTAAGACTCCGCATACCCCTTCAGTTGGTTCAATGGCGTATATTTCTTCTCCACACTCGATCATATACATACATATATAAGCGAATTTTTTTTTAACGTACTCATTTTATTTATTAGTATGAAATTACGTATTCCTAAAAACCAGTAATTATTTAGTTGCAAAAAAGAAAAGATTTCAAAACGATTTTGGCCAGATTCATTTTACAAATGTAAACTTCGGAAGTACCAAAAAAAGCTATGCTTTTGTTAACTGCATCATGCTTCGCCTATACGCAAAACAGCATTTTCAAAATCCACACTTTTCGATTTTTGCATTATTTTCTATCGATTAGAGTTTCCCATTGAGTGGTGCATGTCCCTAGGCCTTTTATAAAAATTTCACTTTTTTTGTTTTTCTACCATATGGCAAACGTTCATTTCCAGATAGCTAAGTTACTTAATATGTTATTAAAGGATTAGATTTCTGTGTGGCTTAGACGAATCATTGAAATTCAAATCCAAAATGCACCCATTTATTGATCTCCTTTGTGGTTCCGAAAGCCTAAGCCTTTAAGCTTCAAGCAACCGTGAGTTTCGGCAAGTATTTAGGTTAGATCATAGTAGTTCTCATCAGAAGCTTGCCAACGGTACATCCTACGTTTTTCCATGACATCTCTTATAATATAATTATCTCTTACAATTATAACTGAATAGTGATTTTCATGAACGTTTTTCGAATATAGATATTTTATTTTTTTACCGCAAGCCAAGGAAATAGTTAGAAAAGCTGAACCGTCCGATGTAAAACTGCTTATAGTACTAGAGAGCGTAACGCTTTTTACAAGCATCTGTGGCCGGTGGCAACCGCGCGGTCGTTCGAGAAGCAAATCAAAATCGACCGTTCAATGAGTGATTCTGCATTTGACACTGTGTCGGCTAGTGAAGAGATATATATATATATATATATCGCAATTGACATTCTTCATTATTTGAGTAGGAGTTAATCTCATGACCGGTACGCATGCTCAAAACGAGTATCTTGCCTTGAGCAAAAATCTCCACAACGTTATAATTGTAACTGAGTTCAGCCGAGCTTTGACTCGGATCGTAGCATTCGTTGAATCTACGCACTTCCTGTCGAAAAGTCAATCTATTAACTTGTTGCTCGCATCATTGAACAATACGGTAGGTGCAGGGCCCAGGGCGAATAGGATAGGACGAAAGGACACGGTTGAACATCACTTTTCGTCGGACAAACGAGCATATTATTGGGCCAATACTGATGCCCATACATAAATATGCCATAATTAGCAGAGAGGTTTGGCTTGCTGACATGTAGTGTACAACGAGAGGTAGAGCGCAGAGACTTAGACAGATCAGTAAAAATCGATGTATCCTTCGCCTGCGCACTAGCTCAGCTTAGCAGTTCAAAGACTATATTCGTTTTTCCTGTACATAGTCGTATAGTAAACTAAGTGTCAAAGCCTTACATTTGATCCTACAGATGTCTGCATTAGCTTTTACAACACGGAAATAAGCGTGCATCGAGAGTGCCTTTCTTCATGGGTCGATATAATCTTGAAAAGGTTTAGCACACAGCAAACTTCCTCCAGTCTAAAGATGTTTCGACTCTATACGACCCACTAAGCTGGAGGAGCACTTGCGCATCATCGACAAATAAGTTTTTGAGTATTTTGAGGCAACACTCATTACTCAGAAATACCTGCAGCACGGTTATCGGCCAGAACTACCGTCGATCCTTTAAACCCCATATCATCAGATTGTACAATTAACGGTCAAACTATAACTAAACGTTTCCTTCTTGCGTAAATATTTAACTTTAGTGGAACGTTGTCGAGCTAGGATATTGAAGCTGGAAGGCTACATATCACGCCACACTAAGAGAAATATAACCATGGGAATAATGAACCTTTCAGTGGATGCAACTGAGGTACGATACTCCTAGCAGTCTGATCAAGCCTGCTCCATTTCTGAATGGCGAGAGATCCTCAAGCTCAGACTCGCATAATTAATTCTATAACGAAAAACACTAGGCTATTGATTTTTCAGTTTCGTTGTCAAAACTGTCATCGGACGGACAATAGTTTGTGAACGGTTTGAGCAGGAAGAACTAGCAGAATGAAGAATAAATGATCTGTTTCGTGAGTGCTAACATTATGTTAGACTGTAGGGGATCACCACATGTCAGGCGCTTAAATATTAACGCTCTTCAACCCTCAATGCAGTGCGACTCTGTAGGTCTATATGAAAATGGTGGAGGTTATTTCACAATTCCTCTGTTAACGATAATAATAGTCAATAGCATATTATTAGTTGTTTATAAAGCCCGTACTTAAGGAACAGCAAACGTCTACGTTAGTTGTTTTATTTATTTAGAAATACGATGACGATACCAGAAGGCTCTTGCGGCGGCGACAACGGCGAAGGCTCTAAGAGGATTCTCGATTAGAATAGTGTTGGCTCTCCTTGATCTAAATGTGACCCGCTATGCGTCGTGCCTGTTGCCGCTAGTGCGCGGCCATCTTTTCCATATTTCGACACGTTTGGAACCGGGGAAAGACAGATTTCTTCAAGCGCGTTTTGCGTCTGCATGTTTCAGCGTAGAAACAAGCTGCTGTACTTCTTCTTGGAAACGAATGCTGTTGTCGATGATGTGAAGAACCTTCTTTTCTGTAGAACGCAGGACGTTGCCTGAGGATACCCACGTTCATGCGTACACACGCTTGTAAAAGTTACTTAGCGGATCATGGCTTTTTGTATTCTAGTGTGATGTATTTATGATAACGATCGTAATTGATATATTCCAATATGAACAAAAGCTGTGAATAAATTCTATCATTATGTATTAACGAATCAGATACACTCACGTTATAAGCCAATATGGAAAAATTATAGTCGCCGTGATCAGTTCGGATGCCACGACACGATGCTCCTTTCACGCCGCCATGGCAGGCTTCAGCCGCTTTGTCTTGTTGAGTTAGGGCATACGGAACCTTATTGCCTATTGTACGCCTATTTTATTTGGCTTTAAGCTCGAAACACTGATAACATAGAATATCGATCTCTGACACAACAACTCATCTGTGTGTACTTAGTCAGCCTGTAGTGTTTCTTATAACGACACGCTTTGACACAACATAGATAGGAACTTGTGGCCAGGTTGTTAGAACGACACTGCAGTGCAGTTTCAATTCTATTATCATTGTGTTCAAAGTGGGTACATTTTTAACAGTAGCAGTTTGTCTGTTAGCCCTCATAGAGCCTCTGAAACAGTACCTTTACATTTTCAGTTCGGAGCGGAGGACTTCGACAATATCTATGTAAAAACATAGACGTAACGGATGAACTGTGGAAGAGGCCTTGCCGACTTTCATCTCCGACAATCCACCCATCAAATGTATGACACACCACGTGCTAAGCTACATTCGATGTTTCTATATACTATGGCCCAATCGTAGGACAGCATCGGGTTCATGGACGGCTTACATATCTATTGTAAGAGCAAAAATTTCCCCATTCAAGTGATTTTTTGTCAACTTTCTATGAAAGGCCCCTTGGACTAGCACGAATTCCTTACGGGACAATAACTAGCTAGACAGTGACTATGGGTCAGTGCCAAAAATGCTGAAACCCAATTAACTGCATCCACTGATTTGGCATTTGCTATCCAGCGAATTTACGTTTAATATAATTTAATATTTTTATAATTTTTTAAATATTTTAATAATTTAAATAATTCTTTTAAATAAATAAAATAAATAAATAAATAAAAATATGGTATGGGGTTAATATAAAAATAAATAAAAATAAATAAATAAAATAAATAAATAAATAATTTTAAATAAAAAATAAATAATTTAATAAGTTTAAATAATTCTAAAATACTGCTTCTAAAATTAGGCCGTAGTATCGTGCACATGTGTAGTTTATAGTTTCAAGGAAACATATTAATATTCTCTATTATTCTAGGGTATATTTCAATTAAGGAAAATTTGATACTCAAGATAAAACGACGAAAGTTGCTACTATACGAATATATTTAGCCAGAAGAAATCGTAACAGCCTGGCCGCCTTTGTAGGAGACAGCATCATTAAAAATTAAACTAAATGATTCCCTTGGGATTTTTTAAGGAAGGAAATCTTTAGCCAATATATGTCTCTATGTCCCATAAAGGGTGTTTCTGCTCAAGTGTAGTAAACAGGACACTTAATAAAACACCAATAAATATCGCGTTATCAGTTACATTATCTGAGGTCGGGTTTAATATATATAGCTGCCACTGTAGATTACGTGTGTCTTTTGAAATTGGTAGAAAAGTTCTATGCAAAAATAAATAAAGTTATTTTTTGAGGCGGACATGAGGTTTCAGAGTACCAAAATAGATTGTTTTGATGCATATGATGATTATTACCGTGAAAATTGTTACAATGCTTGTCAGCTATACAAACAGACTGGTCCTTGATACTGAGATCTTCTGCGTTAAGAGGTCTCGGTCTTATGTAGACCTTATGTAGGTCTCATGTAAACAATGAGGTCTTATGTAGAAAGGGCAACATAACTATTTATAATACAGTTTCATGAAAAAAAAATGCAAGACGCGTAAATAAGATCACATTAGTGAAACGTCGCTTTTATTCCTTGTTTTATTGTCAGGCCACTTGAGAGGTGAGTATAATCAGATGTTATCGTCACTTCCAATATGTTAGTACAATATATAGTACATAATAACAAATGCGAATATCTGTAAATACCATCAGGTAAGACAAGCTGTAAATAGATTGTGGCTCGACTAAGGCCGCTGTCCTATTACGGGAACTACATGATAATGGATGACGAAAAGCTCCGGCAACAAATTTCAAATCAAATGAATGAAATGATAGAGGGGCTTAACTGCGGAGGTTGAATACTCCGTGGGTTCCGTGAATGAATGCTGCTAAGAAGGACAAAGCCTGAAAGCGAAACAGAATCAAGAACAATCGCAAAGGCCATCAATTTGTCTGTTCGGTTTCAAATGAGTAGAAGCTTAAACGTGGTATATGAGTGTTCTAATGAGATAACACAATCTCTTCCAGAGTTATCGGGCTAAGTGACTGTCTTAAGACCCTATATATAGAGCTACGACAATTTGAAAAATCCGAGTACTTTACCCTTTGGAAGCAATCTGATTTATCTTGGCGGATTTAGTGAACGTACCGTTTTCACCGAAGATCACTTATGAGTTCGAGCTTTGCCACCTCTAAAGTCTAGTACAATCACCAACACTGACATAAAGTTTGAAAGACTACTATTGTCCTAATATTTTTATGCTATAACGGCTATATGTTTTATTATTAGTTGACAAGTTATTTTTGAACTTGAATACTTACAACCGTCCCCCAGTATTTTCCTTTGTCATTCGATTTGGCATCGTTGTTAACGATCGACCAGACCGGGATACCGATGTAAAGAACCAGAGCGACAAAATGGTATACCTTAAACTGCGCATAACACAAACGGCAACGATAGAAACAACAGAAATCTCTAATAGCATATCCTAGCCGTTCCTAATAGTTTTGTAATAGTAGAACAGTTTCGGTGCCCGTTTCGTACGTTGACTTTGTTCCTATTGCCGCATTATATATATATATATATATATATATATATATATATATATATATATATACATATATATATTAATATTGAAGTAGCATTTTAATAGTGTGTAGACATTTATATCTTAATCATAAACTCTGGAGTGCCTGTTTGCTCGCGATATCATTTCCCGTGTCGGAGCAAACAGTTAGAAACCTACGTAGAAGGTACCCTCAGTACCGGCTCCAGATAGGACCAGCGAGATCAGGATTAAAGCTCCGTTGGCGTAAAAAAAGAACGAAGTCATCTGCATCCATCTTACGGGTTCGCCAAGCAGATGGTACGCCAGCGAGAACAGCGCAACGCCCAACGCCTACAATAATAAAATGCCATTATATATTGTAAATATATAATGTGTTATTAACGAGGTGTTCGAAAAATATTAAACACAGTTTATAGAATGAAAAAGGGAAAAGCACAGTACTTTGCCGTGAGTTGTACTTTATTTTAGATCGCATTATAAATAGTTGTCTCATAATAATGTACGCAAATCCCAACTATCGATGCACATTAAGCACATGATTCGATTATAATTGTTTTTCCTCTAATGTTCGAAAAATAAGGAATCTTAAATGTTATTTAATCTTACATAATTTATATACGTATTGCTGTAATAGATCGTTCAGCTAATACTTACCGGCAGCGTCTACGAAACGAAAACTACTGTTAGATATTTTCTCATCTACTGCAAAACTTCGAGTCCACATTGAAAAAAAACACTGAACTGTATCTCTTCTATATATATATACTCCCTATATAGAAATATATATAACTTTTTACGGACTGTTTGTGTGTATGACTCTCTGCGAGGTTGGGCCGCTGAGTATGAGTCTACCACTATACAAGTATGACTGCTGTTAAAGTCGAGAGATTTGTGTTTGTAAAGCGCTCGGTAATCTATGAGAGCAAATTGGCGATTCGTCACGACCAGGCCGCAAGATATGCAAAAATCAGGACATCATAACGGTAAGAAACGTCACACAAATTTAAACCGGGTCAATAGGATAACTACCGTAGAAAATGGGATTAGTGGAAGTTTAATATTAGTAAAAGCTTGTTTGTACAGAAGACATTGAGAGCGTCGAGCCGCCCAGGTAATATAGTGATGTAGGATCTTTTATTTGAAGAATGACTACTCCCTCTTGAAATCTTTAAGATTGTCGGGGAGTCGATGGTCCCGGCGACTTTAGGATCGATAACGTCAGGGTTAAGTTGTGACGCATAAACAATTGTTCCAATCATTTGTTCCAATGGTAAAATAGGTCACAGCTAACGCTCTTTATGGGCCGTCTGGTATTGTTTTGGAATCACCACTCGTATATGTACTATAGCAGTGTTTACAATTTTCTATATTGTTTAAAAAGGGCTAACAATAATTAATGGCCAAACTAGATTGGCCTTTACCGTGAAAAAGACTGCTTTGACAGGACATATTATCTTAAAACGCAGAAAGGAGTGGTTATCAAGTGACCCTATATGCTGGCCATACGGAGTCCCTATAGTTCTCGGAACAAATGTCCTGGGTCGCGTCCTCAACATTTTGGCATTAGCAAAAAATTGATATAGCAGATTCGTTTAATTTCACTCCGCGTACCATCTTTGAAGTCCGAACTCTATTTTGTAATGGCACCGAGAGAACACGACATCCACAGACCTATATATTACAGAAAAAAAGTTTCTCGTTGGCCATCTACAAGGAAAAATTCCAAACAGGACAATAGTAAACAATGACGCGACAAAGTTAAACGCGAAATTCAAGTTGAGCAGTATGCCTAGGTCACTAATTCGCGCTCGTCGTAACTTCGTATAGAATAGCCGGTTACAAATAAGAAGGAGTTTGTGACTTATACCTTAGGTTATCTTCAAGCAAAAAAGCGGTAAGTAAAGAGTGTGTACGTCTTAACCTTTCCATATATAAGGGAAATACGTCAACGAGGCCATGACCTAGCCGGGACAAAGTAATATGGCTTCCGTTCAGGAGGAGTTTTACCTAAAGTAACTGAACATGAGCTATTTACACTGTCTGTCACAGGCTAAGCAAGCAAAAAGGGAGGGGTCTGGATCATTTTTTGGTATTCATTGTATTATATAGCCTAAAGATCGTCTAGGTGGAGCACGAAATTCTCTACCTTCCGTCACAGTTAGTGTAGGTAAGCTAAAGAAGTCTTATACATAAGACTTCGTAATTTTCGCTGTGCCAATGCTCACGAGTTCTCTCCTCCCGTAAAAGGTTAAACACCTAATATTCCAACGGCGATGATATATTCGTTCGTCGTACCTTTTCTAACTAGCATAGTGAAACCGGTCAGATCTATCAGATAACATACCACCTCTATGTTTCCCAGGATGCTAGACTCAAAAGCAGAGAAGGGTATAATATTTTTCACCTTAGTAAACATACGAACATTTTACTGTTGGAGTACGATTCTCACATATTATAGGTTATTTGCTATACAGATAATTGTTATAGTTAATTAACTATAACAATAATTGTTAATATAATTAATTGTTAAAGTAGAACATTGCATTGCAAGCAATGTTAGTGCTTCCACTGGATAATCTGCCCCACACGCATGGTTATGTTCATTCATTGGAAGGTCGTGTCGGGCGAAACAAACGGTCATACGTTTGACGTTAGAAGTTTGTAGGACAGAAAATAATCGTTTCGTTTCTATTACCATGTAATATGAGAGGTTAGGTTACTGGGCTAATAAAATCATGGTACGCTTCCGCAGATAAACAGACTTTATGCGTAACAGCTCTGGGCGTTTACCTTGTCTGTTAAATGGGTCAAAACTGTAATATCCCAGGGAAGAAAAGAGCACCTCTTCCGTAACCCAAACGCAGACAGATATTAAGTGCACGTAAATATTACAGAGATATAGTACACTTAGTGATACATAATGGTCTATGTTTTCGTTGATCGCGTCTTTCAATTGTTTTGTGGTGTATCTCCGCTGTGTTGAGCTAGCCCGGTTGCATTTAGTTTATTAGGCTGAAAAAAGACAGGTATCTGAGCTGCGAGTGCTTCGTCGTTATACACGACGTCCTCAACGGTCTGTGGATAAGTTCGTAAATTTGTCTTTGTCGAACAGAATATTATGATCAAATTATTACAGTAGAGGCTCTTGAAGAACTTTTCACTGCTGGAATCATTTTTCCAGAGAAGAACCAGACTCTCAACAACACCCAAAACTCACAGTGAGGTCTTAGAGCTAACATTGACTTACTCGTGTTCATAGTCATGTTTATAGAATGAAAACATGTTCAGAAATTAGGATGATTAGCAGTGAATATGCCTGTTAATCGGCCTATCGTTGCTGTTCTGACATAAACTAGTCAAAAAAAAACATGAGATTCTTACTTACGCCACAAATAAGATGGTTAGGTAATTCTATATGTATGAGGGTCCTAAATGCAGGCGCATTTATCTCTGTTTCCGCGAAAATGACCGATTACAGTGCTATGCATCTTATACGAAAACAGTGCCTTCGTTCGGCGCCAGTCTTTCGAGTATCGCGAAATCGTCAGATCGCATTGTCCTACATTGAACGACAACAGGCGCAAAAGCATGAAATCAAAGAACAGCTAAGGACCAGTGTTTCTATTAACCCAGTTTTTCCTTACCGCGCGTCGCTGTCTGCACGCCCCTTCCGGGAGTATGGATACGCGAACGAGCGGCAGCACCAGTTGGCAGGCCATTTGCCCCCTAGTTTTGTTGATCTTTTCTTCCCTATTCCTTACTCTTCACTAAGTTCCCGGTGCTGGGCGAGCAGACTGCGGCCTGATTTCCACTTGGTCTAATCGCTTGTTGCTATCGACCCCATCAAATGCAAATGCTCAAACCCTACCTCCGTCACTACAGTTCGTAGTTGAGTGGTCGCTTTGCGGCCACAGCGGACAAGGGCTGCCTCGGCACGATGATAAAGTCTGCCATAGCTGCCCAGACACTGGCGCGGCTCGATCTTGTGATGAGCTCTGAACTAAACTGGACTGAGCTAAGCTAGTGAGTTCTATTGCTGCCAGTACGGTTATTCTGTGCCGTCTATTGCCACTGGTGGCAGCAAACCGAGGGCTTGTCATGCCTTCTATATATGGTATGGGTGTGGCCCATTCTTTTGGCCGACTACGGCCGGTTGTTGATGGCTGTATGCGCTGCCTGACGTTTTACCACCGACTAGTTTTGCAGTTAATATAACCAACCGGCAAGCAGCTTCCCCTTTGGAGACAATGCTGGAGAAGAGAACAGAGTTTACTGTAACAACGCCGTCAATGGCGGGTGCGCCGGTCGAATTTTTGGCATTAGCGTCGAAATGCATGAAACCTACATTGAACGAAACAATATCAGACGAGCGGCAGCAATGAGTTGTACCCGTTCGCAGGACCTGCGAAAATAGTTGTAGGAACGACCAGATAGCTCTGATGCTCATAGCATGCGGCAATCGCCCCGTTCGCCCACGATTCGGTAATTGTTGCCGGGTGGCCTATCTCGATCTTAGACAAGCGACGAAATTAAGCAGCAGCAATATCATGGAGGCGACTTCGATAGCTGAAATAAGGACAAATCTGTACAGACGTAAGTAGTCGTATAGACATAACACCGTTTGTTGAAGCGCTGGTCCAAAGAAAGGAAAACAGTTGCTAATGCAGACGTTAAAATTCACATTAGTTCGATTGCTAAGTTCGTAAATAGTTTACAAGATCAACCGGTAGTCTAACAGGACGAATCACAGATATAATATATGTATATATATATGGTCAATGTAGTGATTCGGACGGCCATAAACAGCACCGAAACAGTGATGTCTAATAAAACGTTTGATAAAATCACAAAACAATTTGAACTGTATAAAATTAACGATATCATATTATTAAAGACCAAGTACTTTTTACGGAGCAGGGGCCAATGCGTGAAATTATATAGTATCGAAGTGATTGGCTAAAAGTAATAGATAAGATGGCCAGCTTGTCAGTTATTATATCGTGTGTATTTAATATTGACCTCTTTTTTACTCATAAGAGTTATGTTCAATAGACGTTCCACTATTAATCGCTGATTTAAAGATCACGCTTGATCCTGCGACTAATTATCATTATGATTCGTTCGTTATATATAAACATTGAAATTCTGTTTCCGCCTGTTTATAATGTGTTTACTAGGTCGTGTTTCGTAATGTTCCCCGCTAGGGAACGTCCAGCCGTAGCCTCAGTGCAAGGAAGTCGAGAGAAGTGCAAGGATGAAAAAGGCCAACGAGTAAGTAAGCCGTACGAATGACCCGATAACGCTATCCTTCGACGGACATTACGAATCAG